TATGAGTTTATCAGAGCTGCCTGTCAGGCTGCAGGGGTCAGAGAACGGTGTTGTTGGACCAGACTGCAGCCTGAGCCCCGACACAAACTCAGCCATAAGAGAGAAGCGGTCTATAGCTAACAGATCAGAACTAAAAGAGATCCTATCTGCAGGAGTTTTGTGTTCAAGCCCAGAGATACCGCAAAAAGGCCTCAGCAGAAGACAAAAACTCATTATGGGATGACTAAACGATATTACTGCTGCTGCTTGTATGTAACATTTTATTATTACCACAAATTAATACCACTAGACCTTCTCTTAAATTTAAAACTAAACTAAGTGAAGCTAAAGGTCATCTCACGGTTGCTTTATGGGACACTAAATAATAAAAGTTTCACAGGATTTCAAAGAAAAGCGTTCTGCTGACATTTTTGGAATTTAAGGACTTTCCTGTAAAAGACAGAGGCTCCCTGTGAACCCACAAGTTTCTTTCTAATTTCTTCTTCGGTATTTAAATCTTGCCTGTGACATTCAACACACAGCAAATAAAATTGATATTACCTTTTTTTTGTATTTTGTACAAGATTTCAGCAGCACTTCAGTTTCACAGTTTTTCTTTTAATTAACAGGTGCAAATCTACAGTCTCAGAAACATTTATATGAATAGACACTTGAAAGGTTGACCTCTTTCAGAGGAACTCAAAATACAGGTTTTCTTAACTAATTTTCTTTCATTTTTTTAAGTGTGACGCAAATACTTCAGCATCTATAGTCACAATGTAAGATTAATGAATATAAATAAAACTAATCTTTGTAATTACTGACACCATTAGACACTCTAAGGACAGAGCAGGCTAAATTTTTTATATTTTAGTAGGCTACTGCTGCTGTTAAACTAAAAAGGTATGGTAAAAGGTAAAAAAGGTATGTAAGAAAGATACATTCTTAAAAGAAATTAAAAAATTATTACTGATGCATAAGGTTTTTTCAACTCCAGTATTTTACATACAGGAGCCTTTAAAGGAAATTTTAAAAAATCACAATTAAATTCACATAAAGTCAGTATTCGTAGGTTCTAACTGTGTACAAAGTCTTAAACGACCTGTTTGAAATGCATGGGTTCCTCCAAACATCACACTGACTGTAACTGCAGTCAGTTATCCATAAAGTTACATTTTCTGCGTTTACGTGCCTTCACATGCAAGAAACAGTTTTGCTTCTTTTTTTTTCAAATGGAACAAGACATGATATTGCTGCTGACAAAAATGTTCGTATATGAGAACAAATAATATTCAATTCAATCTAAATTACAATTTCAGTTTCTGAAATATGAGCATGATAACGTTCATTTGTTCTGTCGGTTTAAAATTTTGTTGAATTGTGTGATGTTTCACAATATTCATTTTCTGTCGATGTTTGCCACTCCTTCAGCAGATTACTGAGATGCACTGCGGAGCATTCAAAAGAGGGCAGTGTAACCACACATGCAGGGTTTGCTTGGTGCTTTCCCCTATTTCTGTATCTCCTGCATAAACAATGTCACAATTTCCACACACCATATGCATTTAGTTTCAAATTTGCATTTTTGCAAATCAATCCTTTCAAACTTGTTTTTTCTAAGTTATTATTATTTTTGTTTCAAATTAATATTCTATTTGTTAGGGGCAAAATGTCTGGTGTTGGTGTTGGGGGGGAGGGGGGAGAATATGAAGTATGACTAATATAATTCCAACAGACATTTCAACAGTCTGAGTGAAAAATCCAGTGGTCAAGCTGTGAGGAAAAAGCTGCACCTGGTAATTGCTGCAACACCCACTGACCCCTGTGCAATGTGGATCAGCATACCCCTTCACTACATGTAAGAAAATTGCTTCATAGTTAGTGCATTATTGTTTCAGTGATGGCAGAGAGGTTGCGTCGCCTGGCCCTGGGTGGCATCATTAACACAGGCTGGAGTAACACGTTTAAATCAGATGGCATTGTCACAGGTGTAGCTACTGCTGTTCATGCATGTGATTAATGTCCCCTTTTTTGATTAATTTCCTACGTTGGCTGAGAAGCCCTCGCATTTGTGATTAATGAACCTGCAGCCTAATATAATATAATAGTGGTCTGGTACTTATTTTTTATGTGCGCGTGTTTGTGCGTGTGTGTGTGTGTGTGTGTGTGTTCTCACTGGTACCAGTGTGCAGCATGCTTCAAATCCCAGTTCAGTCAATGGTCACAGCTAAAGGTCAGACGGGAGGAAATCACACACAACACATGGACTCCCTAACAGCAGAGTTTTTCTCACCGTGCGGTTGCGATAGAGGCAGTATATTGAGCTGCTACAGTAAATCTCGAAAACAAAGACGGCAGAGAGAAACTGGCACAGACCTAGAATGTAAAGTTAGTGGGAGGCTGATACATAAATCCACATACAATGACGCAGCTCTGGTCTCATGGGTCTAAGCTTCTATCTCTGCCCGAGGGCTGGGAAGGGTGTGACCAAGACGCTGCAAACCAGAGACTCATGCTCTTCATCTTTTCACAGCAGAGGGGGGGAAAAAGAAGAAGAAGAAAAAAAAACATACAGCTTGGTTATCCTCACTGTTGACCTTTTGATGTCTAAGTCAATATTCTCTCTCTTTTTTTTTTTTTCTCGTCCCTCTCAGGCTTCTTCCCCACATCCCCGGTGGTGACAGAGACAGAGGACACAGGGGTCTGTAATTAGCTGGTTGACCCCGGGGTTGGGTTGTGTGACCCCGGCAGCCGTGAAGCGCAGATCCAGGCCTGATCAGATGAGTAGTTCTGAGGGATCAGTGGTTGAAAGACAGCCGCCTCTGCACCTCAGCCAACCCAGTCACATTAGCCAGCGCGGGCCGAGACGGGGGCACAGTTACAGGAGCCCAGCTGCCGAGCCCAAACAGAGTCACAAACACCTGTCTGGGTAGAGTACAAACATATAGACACATGCTTTTCAACATCCACGGACACCGATGCGACTGCAAAAACACACTACCTGCCACCACTCAAGGAAAAGAAAGAGGAGGGGGGAGTGGGGGAGAGCGGGGCTGAGGGGTAACCTGACCCAGGTAGGGGAAGGATAGGTGGAGGGAGGTGGATGGGAGGCGAGGGAGGAGCAGTCCTGGCCCTTGGTCAAGTGCCTTGTATTCCACAAACAGGCCGCATCCAGTTACACTTTACCTGAGAAGCTGAGCCTGAGGAGAGGATTCAAAGAAAAGCAATGTGGACCTCCCTCCCTTTGGTGCACCTTCTTTGGCTAATGGAGATTTCACTCTTACAAAACGCATTCTGATTTCTTCTCTGAGCATGTATCCAGGGATTTAGTGAAACTTAAGGTCAATTCGTGTCTAAGTGTCCCCCCTGTTTTTTTTTCTCTCCAAGCTTTAAGAATGAATAAAAGCATCGCACTGAGGTACCTACGAGCTGGCCGATAATTGGTAAACGTGGCTCAGCTGTCTTTGCTGCCTCCACGGCTCACTACACTAATTAAAAGCAGCGAGATGGGAGAAAGGGAGAGAGTGTCATCAAGGACACGCTGGGAGACGTTCACCTGAGACAGCACAGTCACCGATGCTCCGGGCACATCAGTATGACCTGAACGCCGCACCGTTTGAAGTTGTGACAGAGAGAAAGAGAGACAAAAGCGTCTGGATCTGAAACTGTTGCCCTTGGGGGGAATAAAGAGATGGGAAGAAATAGAGAGGAGAGAACACAGGGTGAGGAGATGGAGACAGGGTTAAACACAAATTTGGTAGCAGTAGAGAGAAAACAGGAGACAGAGAGGGAGCGTCCTCCCAGATGCCTTTATTAAAGTTAAGGCCTCCTCTTTAGGATACTTATTATTTAGTCTCACTTTCTGTTACTCATCTTTCATTCCTTTCTACCTCTCTACCTCTCTCAAGTCATCATGTTTACACAAGCTGTTACTGCCATTTCCCTGTTGTCTAACCCTCTGCTGTTTTTCCTCCTTCTTTCCCCTTCTTTCTTTGTCTTTTTCCTGCTGGTTGGAAATCTGCAAGGCTTGCTCATCGGCGCCAGCCTCTGTTAATCCCCTCCCAAAGCACCTTAGCAACGCTAGGAATTTAGAGATGCTAAAAAAAAACACACGACGACAACGACAACAACTGTTCTTAACACTGGGCTCATATTGGCAAGAGTGGCCACATCTTGAGATGTGTGTGTATGTGTGTATGTGTTGTGTGTGTGTGTGTGTGTTTTCCATAAGTAGTTCAGAACAATCTGGAAGGGTGTGATAACCAAGGATCTCTCAAGAGTGTGTGTGTCTCTGTGTGTGTGTCTGTGTGTGTGTGTGCATATACAGTACGTGCGTGCACAGAGTGGGAGTGTATGTTTATGTGATATAGTTCCTATATAACTCCAGCAACCTGGTAATCACTGCATGTAGTCACCTGAGATGCTCATTATCTAGTCTCTGTACATGTTCTGTCTTTGTCTGAGCACCGAGTCTGCACCTCAGCACACTCCGCGCGCCGCTGGACGAGTCTCACAAGTGTTTGTCTTTGTGCGGTAAGCTGCACACACCTGAGCGAGTCAATGATAGACCGAGAGGCTTAAGTGAGCGGGAAAAAAATAAATTATGACAGATAGCAGTGGAACAATTTGTGTTACTATGGGTCCAACTTTGATGTTAGCCAAATGCCTTGATGAAGAAGAAGAAGAAAAAAAAAATCAATAAAGCAAGGTTGCAACACTCATCGCAATTACCAAGTCAGTTATTTTTCATTTATTGGCTTTGTGATGTTCACACATCAACACAGATCACCCCCTCCGCCTCTCGCTTTTTCTACCCAAAATCAATTACTTAGGGGCAATGGTAGAATAATTGAGGGCGCATTTAGGCCTTGAAATGAATACATAGTTTAAATGTTCAAACTTTTCTGCAACTTCTCGCTTTGAAGTATGAATTTACCTCTCAAATTGAATGTGAGAAAAAAATGACTGGAAGCACAATATTTTGTTCTCAGGCAGCAATAAGATGCAAGAGTTTATTTAATATGTGTTCGCTCTTATTTTATTTTTTTTTTAAATTCTCCAGCAAACACTATGTAAGTCAACAGAAAAACAAACCGTAAAATGTAAGTGTTGAGTGCATAACAAAGACCTGTCTTACAAGATGACATTTAATCCATCAAAAAAAAAAACATAGTTCCTTTTTTTCTTTTTTTTTTTTTGAAAGAAGTGAAAATAGAAATTTACATGACATGTACACTCATGCACAGGAAATATGTTAATTAGAAAGCTAACAGCATATCCAAACAATAAATGTTTATTCTCTGACAGTCTGCCAGAGGTTTGTGTTCAAATGAAAATGACCTGTTTCACACTTTTTCCACGCTGCACTGAGGGCCGTGGCCGAACAGGGACGGATGCTAAAGCTTCAACTGAATCTCTGGACCTACCGCCAGATCTTTACACGTTTCCTACCGGGCTGGTCAAACAGCACATTAAATACACTCAAAGCTGGAGAAATATTCATTACAGGCATTTTGACGGATTTCACAAATCTGAAAATGCAGCGGGTTATTGGAAAACATGCCAACTGAGGGACTAAGAGTATTAAGACAGTGAAGCTGGCTCCATTGAAAGGGACTGGGGAAGGAGAGCTGTTGCAGGCACTGCAGATTTTTTTTTGTGTGTGTTTGTGTGTTTATTTTTTTGCCAAAATTGATAAAATATAGGGTGGGGTTATTTATTTATCTTATTTGTTACGTCCAATCTTCAGGTAAGTCGCTTAAGAGAAAAAAAAATCCACATGCTTTGAAATCAGACACTGAAAAAGGTTTTTTTTTTTTTGTAATTTAGAGGTTAAGATTAGGTAGCATCACAGGGGAAAGAGTTAATGGAGGAAATATTGGAGCACTGACTCTTGCTGACATTTTCCAAAAGGTCTATTTTGCCCACAGCACCCATCTCCTGGTGCTCGATGCAATGATGGCTTGCCAGTAGAGGAGACGAGGTGCTATCTGGTAATCGCAGTCCGCCCACAGTGATCCATGTCCACTGTTGGTAGCCATGACTTTGCTGGAAGACAGAGAAATAGGGAGATGGACAAACAGAGGGTATTGATTTGTAAGGGTATCAAATGTCAATCATTACAGACACAGCGAAGCAACACATACAGAAATCTATAGTTTCATAGATGCGGTTTGGCTCATATAACAAACACACACTGTGACCAAGTTACCAATTCAATGACAAATCAAATTTATCCCACACCTTGATAGCTGACAACAATCTAATGGCTCTGGAAACAACCCAACAAAACAATCGAAAAGGGTGATAATCATTAAGAACAATTTATCTGTACCTCATTGACATTTTTCTGTGACATACGCATCCTTCACTTGTTCCAATCTGACCTATCTAAATGACCCGGTTTGTTGATCACTTGACCCAGCAGGGTTCAAAGGCCAAGCCACTTCAAACAGCTATCAGCGTGCTGCAGGTTGCGGTAGGCCCCGTAAAACTGCTGTTTCTTATCTGAACTCTTTGACCCCTCATTAACCCCTTTTCTGCTGCTCGGAGAATTATCGCCTGCCGCAGACGAGCAGAAATCCTTTACAGCATCTGGTGGGTTCGAACGCGTGCGGGTGAGCGATAGACGAACACTGCAGGTGTGTCGTACACCACATTTTATTGAGGGAATTGTCAAGTCAGTGAGAGTTAGCGAGAGTTGGTGGGCGTAAGAGACTGTCAGTCAGATAGGGTTGTTACGTTTGTAAGAACAAGACGAAGAGTCTGTAGCTTCACTGTGGCACAGCTGTGCTCTGAACAACAGCTTTCTAACATGCAGATGCTGCATTCATGTCACATGAGACGGGATGGAGAGATAGAAAAGGTGCACGCGTTATTAACACGAGTTTTTAAATTATGAAGGCAGGTGTAGAATCACAAAAATGGCCAGGGGTGGATTCAAATATTGTGCATTGAAAACGTAATAGCATGTCCATTAAAATGGTCTTTGGCTGACATGTAGCATCAATGTTTGCTTGATTATGATGTCATTAAGTGGCACTTTGGGTATAATAGAGCTTTCAGAAAAATCTGGGTAATTAAAACTGAGATATTCATTCAGACAGGTATAAGATTTATTGTGATCAACATATTCAGTGCAGCTGAGGCAGATGGGAACGTCATTTTGCTTCAAATTTTCACCTGAGGATGGCCCTGGATGAAAAGGTAACGTGGAAGTCTCCATTCAGTCTCTTTCATGGCAACTATGGCAATAAATGGTAAATGCAGGTGTGTTTTTGAAGCTGATATCATCAGTCAGTTGGCACTTGGGAAACGTCTCCATTACAATTCAGGGTCACCACCCACGAAAGTGGAAAAAAACAGTACGCTGTGACAAACACAGAGAAGTTGAAGATAGGGACAGCAATTTGGAGAAAATATTTAACTGCAATTTTTTCAGACAGATATTGCAACGTGATTTGAGAAACAACTTTTTAAAGCCAATCGTAGTTCAGTATTCGCTGTGTAATAGATTTAAAACATGTGATGGAGCATCACCACATGAGATCCATCAAAGAACACCAGAACCGTGACTGTCACACATGGAAGATGGCTTGAATTCGTCAAACACGTAGCAGTTGAGGCCCTTGATCAGACGTGCTGCATAGTGCATATTCAAAATTAAAGCCTTTGCAAATTGTTCATTACATTGCTTCAAATTGTGATTTAGATGCAAAATATATTAATTGTTCAGCTTTGGTTGAATTTCGTTGCTTTAGCTCCGCCTACCCTCTCTGGCGGCTGATGAAGCTGATGGTACATGTGGCACTAACTGTGCACGGTTTGTAATTTTATGCCGGAATGTTGCCACAGACACCCGATTTGTAATACTGCAATGCAAGGACTCAGTCACTATTGTGTTGCCTCAATTGGCAAAAGATTGAACACATTTATGTAAATGAATATTCTTCACGATGGCCACTTTACGGGATCAACAAATAAATTACACTTCAAAAGGTAAACACAGCATATGCACCATATTCCTTGAAAATCTAACCAGGGCTGGTTGAGACAATAAAAAAACGTATATATCAGTCTTATGGTGGTAAAGTCATTATGATGCATCATCTGAGAACCATGAATGTCAGTACAAAGTATTGTTTCTTACAGAAATAGAAATATTTCACTGGATAAGTGAAACTGTTGACCTGCTGGTGGCACTAAAGGGAAAGCTAGAGGATTGCCACAGTTGAAATCATTACCTGGGGATCATAACTTTCTGTAAAAGATTTCACATCAACTAATTAGTGAGCTATATTAGTTAAATGGTGGACAGACTGACCAACAGACACTGCCTTGAGCCACTGTCGGCCACACAGAAGAGGTTGAATCACTGTTCTGTGGGGACCAGTTGGGCAGGAAAAAGCATTTTTGCTGTTATTTTTTTAGATAAATTAAAATTATTTAACCGGCTGAAATAATTTGATGCTGGCAAAAATGTTTTATTGCGCAAAAGTCTGCCCAAATAAGAAAGAAGTAGGAACTAGAAAGTAAGTAACAAAGAAAAAATAAGTAATAATCGTCTGCAGGAGGTGTCAATACTTCTAAACTCTTCCACCTCAGCTCTCACCCCTGAGCGCCACAGAATGCTGTATTAAAAAGTTCTCGTTACAATCTACATGCTTTAAAGTGTGTTGTAAATTTTTTTTGCCCTCGCTAATTGAAGAAAAAAAAAAAAAAAAGAAACTCTAATAACCGATTCAACTATGACTCAAGGTTACTGCTTATATTAAGTGAGGAACAGGAAGCCACTTACCGCGCTTTCATTAACATTTTATTCTAAATTCCCCCTTTTGCTCTTGAGCACCTCTAATAGTCCGACCCATGCTGCCAAACAACCCTAAGTTTGTTTGTCACCAAGACTCTGTGAAAGAAACTCTTTGTGGAACCACTTGTGCTGAAAGAGGAGGAAAAAAGAAAAAAAAAACGAAACGGTAAATTCTAGGCTAAAGCTTCTTCTTTCAAGTGCACAAACAGGAGGATTGTAGAGGACACTTAAAACTTATCACGTGACCCTTCTTTGTTGTTCTGTTTGGGACATGGGTATCAAAGTGTTTGGCTGATCTGAACAAAGCGCATGGAGATTGTGAGAAAATGGGATTTACTTTTAAAAAGATCCAGCCTCCAGTGATTGTTCTTTTGATTTACAGAACAGACTTGTTTATCTTTACTAGCAAATGACTGATTTGACTCAGGATTGATCATTTTTAGTGTTTGAAGAGACCATTAAAAGTTAAATTTACTCAAATCAGGAGACTTTCTACCGGATCTCGTGTTCACGTGCCTGTTACATGAATGAATGTCAGCCGGACAAGGTGGTCTCAGAGTAATAGATTTTCCAGTACAGGCTCAAATCAGGCACACTGAATATTCATCATTTGGGTTCCTTTTCTTCCAAATTGGAAAAAAAAAGTGGTTTATTATTTTTATTTTATTTTTTTTACATTCTGGCCAGCTGTTGCCTTGAGACTGACCTCCCATAATTGTGCTTATTTTGACTCATGATTAAATTTCATTCCCAAGTGACCATAGTGTGACAGAAAGAAAGGAGCAAAGGAGGAAGTGAGGTGATGTTATTTAAAGCACAAACTTGAAGGAGGGAGGAGGTCAAGGCGAATGGATGGGTCAACAAAACATCTGACTTTGACGCACTTTGATCTTTCAATAACCTCAACTACGTGTTCAATACTCGACCCTGTAATCTCTAAACCCTGACCTTGTTTTATTAAATTTTAGTTCTCTGTGCCTAAACCTAATCAAACAAATGTGTGTGTCATGTTAGGCTGCTATGAGTTGTCTTCAGAGGGGAAGGACAAGAAGCTCTACAGTAGTTCTGCTTGGAGGACATGTCAGTAGATGTGATTTCAAAAGGCTGCTGTATCATTAAACAGCTCTTCAAGGGCAAAAGTCAGTCCCTTTAACCACTTGATCCATTTAATCTGCAGGTAAAAAGTTCTTCTCTGGTCATTGATTAAAACCATAAAAACTTACCTCTGCATTTCACAGTTGCATATTTGAAA